CGCCACCAGGGCTGTTAAAAGTTTTGCTTTTATAAATAAACTTCAATTACTGTATATATTCATATGTCTAGAAATTTTAGTAAAAAATTGACTCCAAAAACCTGAGTTGACTTGTCCATGGGTCAGCGTATGTACAGTACTTTAATTCTTGTTCAAAAAGGAACCACCCCTTGGTGAAAGGCAAGAGTGTCATCTGTTCTGGAAGCACTCACACCCCCTTTATATTCTTCCATCCATGAAGCCTTCAGTATGAGCACAAACAGTTATGCCTGCTGGAATTTTGTAAGTTGTCTGGCACTGTTTTCCTTTGCTTCATCCTTTGCATCCTTTGTTACATACCCCTAAGTTTTACTCGACTTAGCCATGACTCATATCAAAATCCATAATTTTGGCCCCAAAAGCTGCCCTTGACTTACTTATACATGAGGTCAACTTATAGTCAAGTATATAATAATAATAATAATAATAATAATAATAATAATAATAATAATAATTTTTATTTATAGCCCGCCTCTCTGCCCAACAATCGAGGCGGGTTACAACAATATATGGTATCCTGAAATTGGTCCGTTATTTATACTGTACAATAAAAAAAATGTAGTAACAGATATCATTGATACTGATGGAGTCTGGAATTGAAGGTTTAAAAACTATTTTATTAATATTGGTAGCTAGGTATTGGGGAATTAATTTAGGAAAGAAAATTGATTTATTATGCTGTCATCAATCAATTAATCACATATGTTCCATTGTCACAGTTGTCCTCTAGTGGCACATTCTGTTACTGACTTCTTCAGAAGCTCTGTTTGGATAATTTCTTAGCCCAGCCTGGTATTCTTCAGATGTGCTTAATTACAAATCATAGTCTGATGGCAGCAGATGTTGGCATTTGTTTTGTAGTACAGTCTCTGTCTGTACTGACAGGAAGACTGTCAGGTTGGAGAAGACTGTCCTAAAGGGCTGGATGTAACAAAATCTTCAGTTAACTTTTTTCAGTTATTTGCATCTCTCTTATTTTTAATGTCACCCACCTGCATCAGTTTGTATACAACTAATTCACCTTTCAAAAACAACTGTTTCATTGTGACACTGAAATGCAGAAATAAGAAATAAGTATCTTGGATTACATGCAGAACAGATTTGACCTGTTCAGTAACTCCTTCAATAATCACTAAGGATCAAGGAATATGGTATGCAAAGATTATGAGCACATGTTATGCATACAGAACAGGCTCCCAAGTTCAGTCCCTGCCACCTCAATTTCTAGCAACTTTAGTGCTCTCCAACCATTCTGTTCCTCTTGAGACACCTTCCTGCTCCAACAATGAATATCAAGGCTAGTGAATATTTATTGCACGACAGAAGGAGAGAGTGCTATTAATTAACAGATTTACTTACTAAGCTGTTCTTGAGGGTTTAACCTGTTATTTCCAACTCTGATAGTGAGTCCCATTAAGTAACAGACCAACTTGTTGAACCTTATTGGAGGGAGGTTTAATTAAATTTTCACACAATGAATTAATTTTAACTGGTTATTTCCAGGCCCTGGACATTGAAGAAATATATCATCGGGGTAAATAGTTTTGTTTATTCTTATGACATTGATACTGCCTGTTGACTGGTCACTTAATGTAATATAGAATCATAGAATCATAGAGTTGGAAGAGACCACAAGGCAGTCCAAACCCCTGACTCACAGGAATACACAATAAAAGTACTCCCAACAGATGACCAACCATCCTCTGTTCAAAAACTTTCAAAGAAGAAGACTTCACCACATTCAGAGGCAGCATATTCCACTGTTGAATAGCTCTTACTGTCAGCTCTCATCATCAGGGGCTACTTCCTAATGGTTAGGTGGAATCTCTTTTCCATACTGATTTTGATAATTGACTTTGTCTGTCTTTGCAGGTATACTAAACTGGGATATGCTGGAAATACAGAGCCACAGTTCATCATTCCTTCATGTAAGTTTTATTTACTTCTGAACAATGACAATTGTTTTTAAAGACATATTCAGTAGTTCTGCACCATCAACTAAAAATTTATATACAGTTCTAAAAATGTTCACTTCAACATTTCACTGAAGTTAAATTGTCTTCTGTGTGATGTGTTTTTATGGACAATAGAAAGCTATTCAAATTCATTCAGAAAACATGTATCTTTTTCATTTTTAGAAGTTTAGATAATAAACATTTAGTATTAGGTTTACAATACAGTTTAGTCTCCCTTATCCGGAATTCTGAAATCCCAAATCCTCTTTTTTCATGCATGGCTGAGATAGTGGCACCTTTGCTTTCTGATGATTCATTGTGCACAAACTTTATTTCATGCACAAAACTATTAAAAACTTAATATAAAATTACCTTCTGGCTATGTGTATACGGCCGTGTTGTGAACCTGTGGCATGGGTGCCATAGATGGCATGCAAAACCATTTTCCCTGGCACGCAGAGTGAGGAAGAGGAGGAAAAGGTGCGTGCCTGTTCCTCCTCCTTCCAGCCATCCCAGGCCTTCAGCTGCCTCCGGAGAGGCAGTTGAAAGCTCAGGAAAGTGTGTGTGTTTGGGGGGGGAGGTCTTGCCCTGGAAGTCCCACCCTGGAAGTCCCATTTCTCCCTGAATTGCCACCTCCAATACAGGGTAACACCTGGTACTGGGAGGCCATTTAGTTTGGGCACTTGGTGCTTAAAAGGTTCGCCATCACTGGTATAAGGTATATCAGAAACATAAATCAGTTTTGTGTTTAAACTTGGGTCCCATCTCCAAGATATCTCATTATGTATGTATATGCAAATACAGGCAAATAATAATAATAATAATAACAATAATAATAATAATAATAATAATAAATCCAAAACACTTCTGGACTCAAGCTTTTGAAATATGAGAGACCCAATCTGTAGTATGTTAATATAATGGGGAATAGACATCAGAATTTGTGAAAAAAA